CTTTAAGCAAATGTACATCTACATTCAGTCCTACCTCTCCTTTGCTCCTCCCAAGGAGGGACTCCCTGGGGCTCATTTTTGTAGCTCTTTAGAATGTTACTGACCAAATCTAACTCCCTCTGTCCTTGACCCTCTCTCAGATTCAAAGCCCTCCTTTTCCTGAATGCCCTGAGTCCCCTCTCTTTGCTGTGGCTGAGGCAGAAGGGAACCAAGCCTTCCTGCCCAATGTCACGGTGGGACTGCAGATTTATGACTCCTGCATCTCAGGGATCCGGGCTCTAGGGAGCACCCTGGCCCTGCTGTCCAACCAGCTTCCATCCGCAACCAACTATGCTTGTGGCTCCCAGCAACATATCCTGGGAGTGGTTGGAGGGATGACCTTCCTGGAGTCAGAGCCCTTGGCTGAGCTGCTCTCCGTCTACAGGGTCCCTCAGGTGAGAGACATGCCTGGAAAGAGAAAACCACTTAAATACTCTGGGCAGACAGTGACAAAGTGCAGCCTGGTAGAAAGATTGGAGTAATGACCTCGAAAAGGTTACTTCCCTGGGCCCGGGATTTCCCTCTTTCTACAAAACAGGAGGTGAGTATTAGACTAGAACATTTCCGAATGCTGATCCGTGCATGGACTAGTGCTGGTCTGAGGTGATCTTTCTCTGATTTGCTACAGAATGACAAAGAAATGACACAGTGTATGCACATGTTGGTGTGAGGTCACCAACCCTCCTTAGATGGTGGTTTTATTTTTCCAACGAACTTTTTTGTGGCAAAATAAAAATTTGGCAAACTTGGGCTAAACTCCCGTAATTGTCCTATCGATGTCTTCAACAGCCTGGAATCCCCAGGACTGATAATGCCTGGAGGCCCTGCACTCTCCAACCAACCATGATCTGAGGGCTGATGACAGCATCTGAGATTTATAACCCAGGCTCGGATCATCTCATTCCTCCTTTGCAGCCTTCCCAGAAATTCAGAAAGTTGAACAAGAGACAAACTATTCCACTGGATTTCTTGATGTTTCTGTGAAACATTTGCCTAGATTCCAGTTCTGTTTGATCTTCACTATATACTAAATCAGTTAGGCAGGGAGGCAATGTTTATGAAATTATTTCCCAGGTGAAGAATATTTATTTCCCCTAACATGCCTGAAAGATACCTGACTGCCTGTTGTGACCTTTAAAACTCGCTCCCCCCAAAATTAAATATCTTCCCTTCTAAATTCCACTGAGGCCTCAAATGCCACAATTAAAAATATCCAGTTAGATGCAAACATTTTATTCTCTAGGAGGAGTGATAGGTACATATCGTCAGTCATTCACGCCCTAGTAGAAATGAGTTTGTCACGTGCTTTTTTTCTTCTGCAATATTAGCTGAGAGTGACACTAATAATAACTATATCTATCATTTACTGGATATTTACTATTAGTAGAAAGGTGATTTTTAGATCCTTTGCATGTGTTCAAATCCTTAAGATTAAATAAATTAATACATGTAAAACATTTAGAAAAATGCCTTGCTTATAGTAAGTGCAATATCAGTATTTCTTATTGACATTATCTTCTTTTATTATATCATTTAATCTTCACAACCCTATGAAATAGACACTATAATTAGTCCCATTTTGCAGATGATGACATCGAGGCTGAGAGGAAATGTTACTTGTCCAAAGTCACATAGCTAATAAATAGTAGTTTGAGATTAAAACCCAGGGACCTTGATTCCAGGGGTAAAAGAAAGTGCAGAAGCAAAGAGGAGGGCAACTGCCCTAAATAAAACTGCTCCCTCTTTTTATACTGGTTGCTATTTCCAAATGTTACTGAGCACACCACCGCTAGTGGTGTATGGAATTGTGCTATAGTCACATGTACCATGAGGCACAGGTGAGGCCATAGCCCTATCCTCAGGGACGTTCACACTCTGGAAGAGAAGGCAAGCATGAATTCATATAACCATAACTCGGGGGTACCCACAGGGTTCTCAAAAGGCCTCTCTTGGAAGAACTCAGGGCAGGACCACGCAGCCTCAAGCCTCTAAATTAGAATGTTAGGTTACAGTGGCTTAGAATGATGTCTTCTAAGTCAAACCTCAAGACATCTAATTGACAGGATTGCTTTTTCTAGTTTTTTGTTTACATAAGAAGTCTTACAAAGCCATGAAGATAAGTCACTTAAGATCTTGATTGCCTTAACTAAAAAAGTTGAAGTGCATGAAATTAATACAGTTCCCATGCCTGCAGGCTGCTTTGAGGTCTCATTCAGCACAGCAGGTAGTGTTAGACCTAAGACCATTCTCCCCACAGTGCTAGAGAGAAGATGCCTACATCCTAAGTGAGTTCAGTTTTAGGGGCTCTAGACCTAGGAGTGTGTGACCTCCAAGGCTGATCCTTAGGAAAATGAATTTAAATTGCCAAAGTTAACCTCTTCACAAAGGACCCTTGGGCTTGATGCTGGGGAGATGTGGGAGGTAAGCCAGGCATATCCTTAGGACTGGAATGTAACTAAGGGAGTCTCTCTCCTAGATAGGTGATAACCCAATCAACTAAAAAATGGCTCAGCCTACTTGGGTGTTTCTGTCCTTTACAAGGGAGAGGATGTCTCAGCTGAGCTGAACTCTGTCTAGGCAGGTCTGACTTCAGAGCCACAATGGTCCAGTTATTTCTTTGTGCCACAATGCTAGCCTCATGGATAATCCTTCTGAGAATAATTTAACTTCAGATAGAGGCTTTCTGTAGGAAGAGAATACACTGACCAGCCAACACAATGTTTGTTACATGGAAAGTTATATTTCTCACTCTTAGTAAGTGGTGTCTGGTCTTGGCAATGATTTTGGGAAGCCTGCACCAGTCTCATCTATGTCAGTCATTTCTGGGTGAGTTCCTCTTTCTTGAAACTATGACATCATCTTGTTGCTCATGCACCACTCACCAGGACATCTTTGAGATTGGCAACTTGGTCTTGCTTATATGAGTATATGAACTGGCATGTAGCTGTTGTTCAGCACCCATCCATTGAATGGGTGTGAACTGAGACATTTTTGAAACTACAAAGTAGATTGTAACCACCACCAGCAGCTCAATGTTTAACATACGCTAAGTGCTACCTGTAACTTACTAAATATCCAAGGAAACTTACATCTTAAGAAATTCTTGAGCATTTTGCAATAGCCCTTGCTGTTGCCAACTCTGGTTTTCCAAAACCCCAGAGTCCCTAAAAATCAAAGGACCCACCTCATTTCACACAACTCACCAACAGAGATCACTGGACAGCGGTGGGCTGGGAAACCAAAGAGCTAGAAACGACGAGGGGCACTGGCTCGACAGTCAGAAAACCTGGATCTTACGAACGAACGCTACTTACTGATTACGTGACCTTGACAAATTGAGTCGTCTGTCTGAGCGTCACGTTCCTCCTCCATAAAACGAAGGTAACAAAGGTTAATGATAATGTATCTGCCTCTTAGAGTCATTGTGGATATTAACAACGGAATAACCAGGGCCTGCTACTTAACAAACCCTCAATGGTTGTTACTTGGAATTGCTATTAGTGATAATGATGATACAATGCAAGCCTGGAAGGAGCAGTTAACTTTGGAGAAAAGCTGGCTCCCACGTCCTCTGTGTAATTTTGCCCAATATAGGGCCAAAGACTCGCCAAAAACTTTGAAGTAAAAGAACTTGTCTGAACATATCTGGTAGGATAGCTTCCTTATGGTAGGCTGGGAAAAGTCTGACAGCGAGCCCCTGCGTAGACCTGAGGAGCCTGTAGGGGAAGGAAAGCAGGAAGAAGATGAGCAGGAGAGAAGAGAAAAGAACCGGCATTCACTCATGCACTCATGACTAACATAAATTGAATGGATCCTGCTTAGAATCTGATTGGAGAGGAAAAGGCATAAACTCGAATGGTCTGCAGTAGAAAGAGTTCAGTGATGACGTGATGAAGGTGATGATCCCAGGGCTGGCATGAACCAAGAATTGAGAACTAGATCTCAGCTTGAGGAACAGGGATCAGGGAAGGCTGTAGAGCAGGCATGGGACTCCTCAATAAACAGGGCATACTGTGTTTTGTTCTTATCCTCCTCTATCAAAAAAAAAAGTACTCTCTCTTTGTTGTTTCTTTTTTTTTTTTTTTTTGAGACGGAGTCTCACTCTATCACCCAGGCTGGAGTGCAGTGGCCAGATCTCAGCTGACTGCAAGCTCCACCTCGCGGGTTTATGCCATTCTCCTGCCTCAGCCTCCCGAGTAGCTGGGATTACAGGTGCCTGCCACCTCGCCCGGCTAGTGTTTTTTTTTTTTTTTTTTTTTTTTTTTGTATTTTTTAGTGGAGACGGGGTTTCACCATGTTAGCCAGGATGGCCTCGATCTCCTGACCTTGTGATCCACCCGTCTCGGCCTCCCAAAGTGCTGGGATTACAGGCTTGAGCCACCGCGCCCGGGCCAAAAAGTACTCTCTTCATTTCATGACTGTTTCTTAAGTTTAATACCCAACTGACCATAGCAGAGCCTTCCAAGTAACTGGAATTACAGGCGTGAGCCACCACACACCACTACTTTTTGTACTTTTAATAGAGACAGGGTTTCGCCATGCTGGCCAGGCTAGTCTCGAACTCCTGACCATAGCTCCTGAAAAGTTTTCTGCTAATAAACAGGTTAAAGAAAACATAATACATCATATGGGCACCTGCTAGCTCTGCCCACCAGAAATCACACTCTGCACAGACAACCCCTTCCCCTCTGCTGCAAAAGCCTCCCAGCTTTCCTTAGGCAGGAGGGCTGGAGAGCGTCCGGGTCAAGTGAGCTCACCTAAGATTTATATGTTACCCATCCCCTGATATTAGATTTTCTCGTGATTTTGCTTTACTTGTGTTTCTTCTAAATAGCAAATAACCAGCTTGATTTTTATCCAGTTTGAAAATTTCCCATCCATTATAGTCAAAATCTTTACTCAGCTGCCCTATGATAGGAGAGCTTAATTCTCCCCTTTACCTTTGAAAAAGAAAAACCCAGATGAAGGGGCTGCTTTCAAAGGAGTGGAAAGGGGTAAGGGTGAAACAGCTGGAGGACAGCCACAGTAGGAAGCTGTTTCCATCCTTCGGGGAGGAAGCAGAGCTGAGGAAGGCAGCCACTGCCCACCCATGGCTGAGCAGGGAGAAATGAATACCCTCGACCTCACTTTCCCCCTACCCCCAGTCTCCCATCAAGCCTCCTACCAGAAGGCAGAGGGCAGGGCAGGCCTTTGACACAATCCACAAAGATCAACCCTTCTGGAGCTCAGAGCTATTACAGAGAAGCCTGGAGAGTGCATCGAGACAGGCAAGTAGAGAATACAGCACACTCTTCTTAAGTAGGGTAATGTAACCTATCATTTAAGCTGACTGCTGATATGGTTCGATGCTATCCTGCCCTCTTATATAATTTCTATTTATTATGCTGGGTCATTGATTTCTATAATAGAAATAATAGAGATTTTTATTTAGTTTTCTAGTTCTTATGCTTTCTCCTTTTCCTTTTTTTTTTTTTTTTTTTTTGGAGACAGAGTCTCACTCAGTCACCCAGGCAGGAGTACACTGGCGCAATCTTGACTCACTGCAACCTCTGTCTCCCGGGTTCAAGCAATTCTTCTGCCTCAGCCTTCCAAGTAACTGGAATTACAGGCATGCACCACCATACCCAGCTAATTTTTGTACTTTTAGTAGAGACAGGGTTTCACTATGCTGGCCAGGCTGGTCTCAAACTCCTGACCTCAACTGATCTGCCCGCCTCAGCCTCCCAAAGTGCTGGGATTACAGGCATGAGCCACTGTGCCCGGCCCTGAATTTTTTTTAATTTGATCATTTTCTTCAATTGTTTTCCTTCTGCTGCTTTGGAATTTATATGTCTTGTTTTTATTCTATTAACAATTATACAAGTTTATAATTCACTTGAGCCTTTATCTTTCAAATAATGCCAAGAATTATACAATGTGTAGAGAGAAACAAAGCCGTTAGCACATCTTTACCTCTCTGCTTCTCCCACCCCCACTGGAAGATATGTTGGCATTCTTTAGTCCACTGCATTCCTTTCTAAAAACGTCAATTGGTTTCTTAGGCCTGAGCCTACAGGCTTTTGAAGGACCTGGAAACAGCATATATCAAAGGCCAGTGAGATAATAATTAGAAATAAAAGGCAGAGAGGGAAAAATGAGGCCAAATTACAAGGCTGGTGAGAGCATTTGTGGATCCTGAACAAGTGTGTTCAGGCCAGGAATGTACAGCCCTGTTCCTTTCCCCAGATCAGCCATGGATCTCAGCGCCCCCAGTTCTCCAACTGTTTCCAGTTCCCATCCTTCCTCCGCACAGTGCCCAGCAGCACCCACTAGCCCTGGGTCCTGGCCAAGCTCTTGAGTTACTTTAACAGGACCTGGGTAGGCCTGGTCAGTTCTGACAATAGCAACTTTGAGTGGCTGGAGCAGCAGCTGCAGAAGCAGATTGGGGACGAGGGTGGCTGCGTGGCCTTCTCAGAGATCAACAGTGTAGATGACAGCATCAACAGCATGGCGAACATCACCACCCAAACGCCTGCTGCCATGGTCATCATCTATGACTGCTACCGTTTTCACTTCAGACTCCTGGTGGGAGCCCTTCAGGGAAACAATGTGACTGGAAGGACGGAAGGACGGAAGGACGTGGATCTTTTCCACCTCCTTCGCATTTAACCCCTCGGTGCTGGGTCCCAAAGCCCATGAGTTGCTGAACGGCAGCTTGAGCCTGACCACACACTTAGGAATAATACCTATCTTTAGGGATTTCCTGTTGGCGCTGTGCCCAGCCCCGTAACCAGGCAACAGTCTGATGAGGAAGCTGTGGGAGGAGCTGCAGGGATGCAGGGGGTCTGGATTTGGGACTTCCATCCAAAGTGCCAGAGAAGGGGCTTGGCATCGCACAGGGCTGGAGAACATGACCACTGCCCACCTATCTGCCTTCAAACTTCTGGATCTAACTGCCATTTACCAAGCCCACCTGGCAGCCAAAGCCCTGTGGGTCGCCTATCCGAACTTGATGTCCTGCTGTCCAAGAGAGGGACCGTTCCTGGGAGGCACGTATGCCAATGCGTGGGAAGCCAGGCCTTCTCAGGTGAGCAGCCAAGAAGCCTTTCCCAGTCCCTGTCCATTCCAGCTTTCTGTGAGCCTTGGACTAGCAGAGAGGCAGTGTAGCTTAATGAAAGGAAGATCAAATTTAGAACCGAAGTGATTTGGACTCAAATCTCAATATGGGATTTCTCTGGGGCCTTGTCACTTACCTTTCCTGAGCTTCAGCTCTCTCCTTTGTAGATTGAGTATAATAATATATACATTGTGGTTCGTTATGAAAATAAGAGATCATGCATACAAATGCTGGCTGGTGATTAGTGCATATTATGGGTTACAGCTTTATCCAGGTGGTTTGACGCTGCTGCTAATAATGGTGATGACATCAAAACAGCCAAGGGCCTTAGAAATCTGCTGGTCCAACACGAAGCAGAGAGATCACAGAAAAAGAGAGGCAGAGCTGGAAGAGAATGCAATTGTCCTGACATCCAGCCACTACATGCCAATGCTAACATGCAACAAAGACCATATGAGATTCACAGTAGGAAAGAGTTAACCACCAAGTTAGAAAACTGGTAAATCTGCAATGTAGAATATGCAATCCAGCACCGACACCCATTCTTCGTGGGCTGCTCAGGGACAAGGACTGGAAGGGAAGGTTAGGTGGTCTTCTCCTCATAGTAAGAGAGGTAATGCTGGAACAAGCTCAAAGAGATGAGATAGAGTTCAGAGGACAAAGGCCTCAACCAACAACACCAAGAGAAGAGCACTGGGTTTTCAGCTAGAGGAAGAGCTGAGCCTGAGTGCTTGGCCTAATCATCAGCCTTCTCTGTGTTCGAGGTCTCTTTTCCTCTCTGGTCATTAGGTACTTTAATCAAAAAGACCTTGGGCTGGGCACGGTGGCTCACACCTGTAATCCCAGCACTTTGGGAGGCAGGTGGATCACCTCGGGTCAGGAGTTCAAGACCAGCCTGGCTGACATGGTGAAACTCTGTCTCTACTAAAAATAGAAAAATTAGCCGGGCATAATGGTGTGTGTCTATAGTCCCAGCTACTCAGGAGACTGAGGCACGAGAATCGCTTGAACCTGGGAGGCAGAGTTGCAGTGAGCCGAGATGGCACCACTGCACTCCAGCTTGGGTGACAGAGTGAAACTCCATCTAAAAAAAAAAAAAACAAAACTCTGAATTTTATAACCATGGAAGGTGAGCGCAGATCAGTAATTTTTACTGTCTGTTCCTTGGAGCCTCAGAGTTCTACAGGGAGACTTAGGTGCCCCAGCTGATGGAACAGTTCTTCAGGCAGGGAGAGGCTTGGGGATGGGGCTCTGGACCCCATAGCTGCCTGTACCAACCAGAGATGCTCTGTTTTCTCTGCCTAATATATTAGTATGAAGCATAAGATTTTGCTTGGAAAAGATTTTTCTTAAAAAGTAGCAACTAATGGACTAGACAGTCAGCAACATTTTCTCAGTAAAGAGCCAGATAGTAAGGATTTTAGGATTTTCAAACCATGCGGTCTCTGTCACAACTACTCAACTCTGCCGTTGTAGTGCAAATGCAGCCATAGAAAATCCCCAAACAAATCAATCCGATTGTGTTCAATAAAACTTTATCTATGAACACTGAAATAGGAGATTCGTGTATTTTCCATGTATCATAAAGTATTATTCTTCTTTTAATTTTTTTCAACTATTTAAAAATGTAAAAGTCATTATTAATTCACACATCACACAAAAAATAGGTGGCAGACTAGCTTTGGCCAACAGGCAGTAGTTTGCCAACCTGTGGCCTAGAAAATCTCCAGCAGAAGGAAGGGAGATGGTGACAGCTCCCTCTTCATAGCATTCATAAGACATCTTAGTAAAGATACCAGGGGTCTAGGTCCAACAGAGAGAACTGGCTCTGACAGCAAAGGTCAATTGTTAAATTTTCAGGAATTGTGCAAGTCATCTGTTAAACCACTGGTAGCTTCAACCTCGCCATAGTGGGAGTATTGACAGCAGGGAAATCAGCAAACACCAAAAATCCTGGCTTCAGAAGAGAGCCAGTTGTTCAACCTTAAGCACATATTGCAAATAGGCATGCAAAGTTTTAGTAATAAAGTCAAAGTAGAGCAAAAATCCTTTTAATATTAAAAGAAGGCTGTCTCAGTCCATTGGTGCTGCTATAACAAAGTAGCACAGACTGGGTAACTTATGAATAATAGAAATGTATTTCCTACAGTTCAGGAGGCTGAGAAGTCCAAGATCAAGGCACCAGCATGCAGTGGCTGGTAAGGGCCTTCTTGCTGCCTCACATGGCTGAAGATAGAAGGGCAAAAGGGCCTAAGTTAGTAGTTACCTCCAGCCTTTTTTTTTTTTTTTTTTTCCAGAGATAGAATCTCGCTCTGTTGCCCAGGCTGGAGTGCAGTGGTGCGATCATGGCTCACTGCAGCCTCGACCTCCCAGATTCAGGCAATCAATCCTCCTACCTCAGCCTCCTGAGTAGCTGGGACTACAGGCATATGTCACCATGCCTGGCTAAATGATTTTGTACTTTTTGCAAACATGGGGTTTCACTATGGTGCCCAGACTAGTCTAAAACTCCTGGTCTCAAGCAATCCTCCTGCCTCTGCCTCCCAAAGTGCTGGGATTACAGATGTGAGCCACCACATCCAGCCTCCTCCAGCCCTTTTTTCAAAGAACTAATTCATTCATGAGGGTGACTTAATCACCTCCAAAATGCCCCACCTCGTAGCACCACCACAATGATAATTAAGTTTCAACATGAATTTTAGAGGGGACACAAACATCCAAACCATGGCCAAGATCTTCAAACTAGGCTCAGCTTCTTTAAGATGGCTTTTAGGTAATTTCATTGGTGCTTAAGTAGTATAAGTTCTTAAAGGCTGTAAGAAAAATAATAGCTAATACCTTTTTAAACACTTTTTTTAGTGTTTTTTATGTCGAGTAACATGCTAAGCACTTTTATGTATTAATGTATTTAATTTTCAAGACAACCCTATGGTGTAGGTCCCCTTTTTACAGATGAGAAAATTAAGATGTAAAGCAAGATCTATAAAGTCGCATCATTGATACAGATAGAGTGAGGAATGTCACCAGGAATCTTGGCTCGGAACTCTAGAAGCAATTCTGCTCCTAACCAAGTCATTTGCTCAAACTTCATCCTCTAGTTCTTATGAACTTTCATAGCGCAGTTCAACACACGCACATACACACACACATATATTTGATTGGTGCAAAAGTAATTGTGTTTTGTTGTTCTTGTTGCTGTTGTTTGAGACAAAGTCTTGCTCTGTCGCCCAGGCTGGAGTGCAATGGTGCGATCTCGGCTCACTGCAACCTCCATCTCCTGAGTTCAAGGAGATTCTTCTTCTCGGCCTCCCAAGTAACTGGGACTTCAGGCACGCACCACCATGCTTGGTGAATTTTTAGTCAGACGGCGTTTCACCATGTTGGCCAGGCTGGTCTCAAACTTCTGACCTCAAGCGATCCACCCATCTCAGCCTGGGATTGCAGGCATAAGCCACCACACTTGGCCTCAAAGCATGCATTTTTATGTCACAAGTATTTACTAAGCACTTGTGTTTTCATGCACTTTATATACTAAACACAAGTATTTTCATGCACTTGGAGCAATGAGGGATACAGAAATGTACAAAATGTGTGCTTGCCTCAAGATGTTTACATTGTAGTTGAAAGAATAATAAATAAGCAAAAATATTGGTATTGGTATTGGTAAAAATGGCACGTGCAGGAGTGGGAAAGTGATCCAGCTAATTCAAAGCATGGGATGGCCAAAGGAAAAGAACAGTAGAAGGAAAGGTTGGAAAGGTGGGTAGGAGCTCTATTATAAAGAACTTCAAAGGTCTTCTTAAAGAGTTCCAGGTTTCTGGAAAAGATGACCACCTCTTTTCCTAATCACAAAATCAAAGCCAATCCCACCTTTTCCAAAGACGTCAAAGATCAAGCCGCTGGTTCTAAAGTCACTAGAGGGATTCCTGAAGGCACTCTGCCTATCTTCCTTTTTCTACTCTTTCTTTTTCAGCTTTGTTCAGGTATAATTAACAAATAAAATTGTATGTATTCATGGGGCACAATGTGATGATTTGATACGCATCTACATTGTGTAATGGTTACCAAAGTCAAACTAATTAACACATCCATCACCACCCATAGTCACCATTTATCAAATTTCAAGTAAACAATACTGTATTATTAACTACAGTCACTATAGTGGACGTTAGATCCCCAGAATTGGTGGTTGCCATGGGATGGGGGATGGAGGATGAAGGAGATGGGAAAATATTGGTGCAAACTCCCTTTTCTGCTATTTAAGCTGTTTCCAAAAAGAATGATGACAGGGTTTTGATAGTCACATAATCCAAGAGTGTCTCAGCCATGAAGAGTTTAGAATACACTGAAAAGATACTTCTTAGTTTATATCTGATTTCTTTTTACTTCTTACTGTGAATTTAATATTTTTATTTTATATATATAATAAGTAATACTTTATACCCTTTTTTTTCTTTGAGATGATTTTGCCTGTACCCACCCCAGGCTGGAGTGCAGTACATGAATCTCAGCTCACCTGCACCCTCCGCCTCCTGGTCAAGCAATTCTTCTCTCTCAGCCTCCCCAAGTACCTGGGACCACAGGCATGTGCCACCATGCCAAGCAATTCTTTCTTTTTTCTTTTTTGGAGAGACGGGGTTTCACCATGTTGGCCAGGCTGGTCTCAAACTCCTGACCTCAGCCTGCTAAAGTGTTGGGATTACAGTCGTGAGCCACCGTGCCTGGCCTAATTGATATATTGAAATAATGGTTCATATTCATGAGATACAGTGTGCTATTTCAGTACACTTATACAATATGTAACGATCAAATCAGGGTAATTCACAAATCCTTATCTACTTTTAGTCAAAACACATTTTTTTTTTATCAGCCACACTTCTTTGTGTCTTCAGGCAGGACTGAGTTTTCTATACTAGGTACCAATCCTATCTGGCACAAAGAAGGATGCTAAGTAATTTGTATGGATGGATTGTAAAAAATTGGATAGGTTTCTATTCATAAGACCAGCCTATCTGTGAATCAGTCTTAGGCAAGGCCTAATGTTTCAGATTGCCATTATCTTGACTTTCACTTCCCTACCCTGGTCCATATAGATTAACACAAACTTGGAACATGAGAAAACAGAACTCTTTTTTCATAAAGTGTGCAGAGATAAGATGCCTCCCTCCAAGGCACCAACAAGCATAGATACGGGAGAACTGTCCAGTGATGTGGAGGAAAGGCTCCTAATGTGAGACAGAGTCTCACTCTCTCGCCAGGCTGGGGTGCAGTGGCGAGATCTTGGCTCACACAACCTCCGCCTTCTGGGTTCAAGTGATTCTCTTGGCTCAGCCTCCTGAGTAGCTGGGATATTACAGGTGCCCACCACCACGCCTGGCTAATTTTTTTTTTCTATCATTAGTAGAGATGGGGTTTCACCATGTTGGCCAGGCTGGTCTTGAACTCCTGACCTTGTGATCTGCTTGCCTCAGCCTCCCAAAGTGCTGGGATTATAGGTGTGAGCCACTGCGCCCAGCTACTCCTAATCAATTTCTTTACTGTTATCTTCCATCCCTCTCTCAGGTGCTCCATTATGCCTGAAAGGTTAACTTCGCCACCAAAGCCCAAGAAGAGGTTTTCTTCACCAAAGATGGGGAAGTGCTGGCAACGTTTGACATTAAAAACATCTATGTTCTCCCAGACCTGTCAGGAAGGACAGCCATTGTTGGACACTTTGACTTCAGAGCACCTTCTGGAAAAGATATTCTGTTAGATGACAGCGCAATTGTCTGGGCAGAAGGACTCAAAGATTAGAGCTGACAGCACCCTAAGAACCAAGACCACACAGCACCTCTCACATTTCAAGCTCCAGGAGTATTTGTCATATTGAACTCACTTAGGATACTGGGTCAAAAAGGGGTGGATTATTGACTTACACAACTCTGAGGCTGTTCAGAAAATAAAACCTTCCAAAGTCCCTGGCTCCCAAAATTAGGGACCTTGCTAAAGGCAAAGATAACTGATGAGCCAATGGGAAAGTAAATTACATACAGTTGCCAATTCAGGTTTATCCTGAGATGGTCAACTCCAGATACCTAGAGATGTTACTGCTTTAGCCTTGCAGACTTATGTCAAGAAATAGGCAATCGATGTTGAGCTTTTTTAAGCAGTGGAAAATAACCCATGGAATCCCATTAGTCATTTCCCAGACCCCTAAGTATCTAAGATCACCAGAGGGAGAAATTCTTTTTTTTTTTTTTTTTTTAATTTTTTTTTTAAGATGGAGTTTCGCTCTTGTTGCCCAGGCTGGAGTGCAATGGCACGATCTCGGCTCACTGCAACCTCTGCCTTCCAGGTTCAAGTGATTCTCCTGCCTCAGCCTCCAGAGTAGCTGGGATTACAGGCACTCATGACCACGCCCAGCTAATTTTTTGTATTTTTAGTAGAGACGGGGTTTCACCATGTTGGCCAGGCCGGTCTCAAACTCCTGACCTCAGACGATCCACCTACCTCAGCCTCCCAAAGTGCTGGAGTTACAGGTGTGAGCCACCACGTCTGGCCAGGAAATTCTAATTTAAGTGCAGTTACATCTCAACTATCATCACGCCTCCTGCAGTTTCCTCTAACTCGTGTAGGCAGGGTTAAACACTCCCTTCACTGAGCAGCTGTAGCATTTTTCACATACCTCTATGAAAAGAGTAAGAAAATGACTATAACTGGTATAATATGTTCTACCTCTTTTCTCTGTGATTTCAAACTTGTTCCCACTGGTCTCACCTTAGTCAGGCATATGGTTTTTTATACCCATGACTATCACACCTCAATGTCCAAATCATCCCACCCTGAGAGGAGGGAACAAAGTTGCTGATGAACAAGGCAGCAGAATAGAGTTCCAGGGAAGAAATGAGCATCATCGCCCCGCAGGCAAGGGGCTGACCCCGCCTGTTGAGATCTTCACTCAGTACTGTTTCAGGTATCTCACAGCCCAGGTACTTACCTTCTCACTCGCTTCTCCTTCCCCAGACCACAGAATCCTTGTATCAGACCTTTCTAAGGAAACTCATTCTGCAAGCACGATCTGAATCTCAGTTGCTCCCAACTTGGAGTGATTTTGCCTCTCACGGGACAATGACAATGTATGGAGACAATTTCGGTTGTCACAACTTGAGGGAGTGAGTGCTGCTGGCATCCGGTGGGCAGGGGCCAAGGTTGCTGCTGAATGCCCCAAGATGCACAGGACAGTTCTCCATAACAAAGAATTATCCAGCCCCAATGTCAGTAGTGCTGAGGTTTAGACACCCTGGACTCAAGGAACCCTAGTGTCTGTAGTCTTTGTTTCTGATTCACTGTGGATGGCCCAGTTCTGCTGGGGCTGGGTGAAAATTAGTCCCTTAAATATAAACAAACGGATTTGACGAGCCCAGGGTGAAAGACAAACTCTTCAGTTAACACTCCAGAATATGATCCCAGCTCACTAGCATTTGTTGTGCACTCACGATTCTGGTCACTGTGATATGGACTTCACTTGCCTTATCTTATTTAATCCCCACACCATCTTCAAAATACATATTATTACGACCAGGCACGGTGGCTCACGTCTGTGATCCCAGCACTTTGGGAGGCCAAGACAGGTGGATCATTTGAGGTCAGGAGTTTGAGAGCAGCCTGGCCAACATGGTGAAACCCTGTCTCTACTAAAAATACAAAAATTGGTCCAGCGGTAGTGGCATGAGCCTGTAATCCCAGCTACTCGGGATGCTGAGGCAGGAGAATCACTTGAACCCGGGAGGCGGAGGTTGCAGTGAGCCAAGATCATGCCACTGCACTCCAGCCTTGGTGACAGAGTGAGGTCCTGTCTCAAAAAAAAAAAAAAAAAAAAAAAACATATTATTACTACAACTTGAGTATCCCTTATCCGAATTGCTTGGGACCAGAAGTGTTTTGGATTTCAGATTTTTTTCAGATTTTGAAATATTTGCATATGCATAAGGAGATATCTTAGGGATAGGATCAAGGCTAAACATAAAATTCATTTATGTTTCATATACCCCTTATGCACATAGTCTGAAGGTAATTTTTTACAATATTTTTAACTATGTTGTGCATGAAACAAAGTTTGTGTATGTCAAGTCAGGTGTGGAATTTTCCACTGGAGGCATCATGTTGACACTCAAAAAGTTTTGGATTTTGGAGCATTCCAGATTTCAGATTTTCAAATTAGGGGTGCCCCATCTACATCTCCATTTTATTGAAGAGGCACCTGAAGCTTAGAGAGGTTAAGCCTAAGACACCCAAACCAGCAAGGGCAGAACCAGAATTCCAGCCAGCAAGATGTCTTGTTTTCCCACCACACTCAAAATCCTGAAGAGCTTTTTCTTACCCATCACTGTTTCCCTAACACTCTGTACAGTACCTGATCTATAGAACACATTTTTAATTATCTGAGTAAGAAGTGAAGGAAGAGGAAAATGAAAGAAGAAGAGGAAAAAGTGATAAAGAGGGGTTTAATAAGGGAAGGAGTAAGAGAAAGGAAGAGAGAGAGGGTCCCAGTAAGTGAAAACGATGAGGCTTATTCCTCCACAACCTGAGTGCACAGATGTTGCTCAATTCCCCCTGCAGTCTCCCCAGCACTCTCTCCCCTCCACTCTCTGCCGTCTACTCTCTCCCCTCCACTCTCTCCCGTCCACTCTCTCCCCTCCACTCTCTCCCATCCACTCTCTCCCGTCCACTCTCTCCCGTCCACTCTCTCCCCTCCACTCTCTCCCCTCTTGTGTGTAGGTCCCTTCCTCAGTCTGCAGCAAAAAATGTCCTGAGGAAACCAAGAAGTCAACCTATTTGAGAAGTCAAAATGCTGCTACAAAATCCTTCCCTGCCCCAGAGGAGAAATCACAATGTCACCAGGTAAGGAGGGAGGCTGGTTCTTGGTCAGAGTGTGGCCAGCCAACAGCCAGAGCAGGCTTCAGATGAAAGCTGTGTACACATCAAGGAAATTCCTTCAATGGAAAAGTCCAGGGAAGTGGGGATCAAAAAGAAGATATCAATGTGACCTTCCCAGATGCTGCATTAAAGTCATTTGAGGCTATTACATTCATTCTTTCTTTTATCAACCATGAGTTTGTTCAAATCTGTACTTAGTTTAACATTTGGCATATGGTAGGCATTTCATAAATGTTTAAAAAGAATTATCCTAACGACATAATCCGTATTTTACTAAGATGTCATTCATTCAACAGATATCAACTGGCACCAACCATATACAACCACTGTGCTGGGTGCAAGGGTACCAACAACAAATAAGGCATGGCCCTGGACCCACAGACCTCAGGATATATTAAAAGAGAATGATACTGTACCCCTACACCTAGCACAGCACATCTCTCAATAAAGAAACTAGACTATAAAGTGAAGTCAATACTGTAATAAATAAATTAATAGTCAAGCATTGAACCATGAAAGCATGTTGGAACAATTAATTCTAACAAAGAATAGGCAGGGAGACTTTTCTATGCAGGGGGTGGCATATGACACAGGCCTTAAACAACAAGCAAGGTTTCAAAGGCAATGAAGCATGATAAGGATATTCCAGGTCAAGGAGGAAGTTGTTATAGTAAAGGCATGAAAGCAATAAGGAGCTGAGAGTGGTTTCAGCATCGATTGTGATGCAAGATACAGGAAGCAGGTGGTCACATCACAGAGTACCTTACCTGTTGGACTCAGGAGCATGGGCTGAATTCTATAGAAAATAGGGAGGAGCCTTTGAATTATTTCAGTATAAAGGCAATGTGTATTTCAGTGTGTGTCTGGGGGAAATGAATAGACAAACAGACAAAGGAGGGAGATTGGAGCAAGAAGACCAGGTTCAGAATCCAGGTAATTGTTGAAGCCACAGTTTTGGATGAAGTCTCTTCAAAACTCTCTCTGGGAAAGTAGAGACTTTGGGAATACCTTTTGCCCTTTTGAAGAGAAAATTTCCACTGAATGAAGCTGAGAAGGAACCACCAGGTGCTGAAGAGAGGATGACAGAAATGAGAAATCTTTGAACTTGGAGACTAGGAAGATATGGAATCAAAGTATCTAGGACCCTACAAATACATCCAAATCAAGGAGAGATCAAATAAGAATAAATGACTATTCCAGGGCTCAGGCCACGAAATACATCCTTAAAATCACTATGGAATAAAAAACTGTTAAGTTTTATCAATGTTGTTATTTACGGAAGGGTAGAACGATTAAAAAAGAGAATCTGTGTACATACTAAGCACTCCATAAATATTCCTTAAACTAAATCAGCTGATGCAAGAATAAATCTGTAAATTAATTCGCTGTGGCTATGAGTTACAACATTACCACAATGGTTGGTCAATTTAAAGGAATCCTAGATAGGAGCTGGAGCTTCCACAGGTGGTTGTCTCAGTGTTATTTCATGATAGTCTGATGCATGATAAGCAGCTGCTGTCAGGATTTCTGCCATCTGTGTCTTTGGCCCTAAATCCGAGGACATCAAGCAATCTGGAAGGCCCATCAAATTGAGACTGAAATATACCAAGCCTGCTGGAAAAGCCATCACAAGTCATAGAACTGCTTGACCATGGAAAAATTTCCAAAAGTTTCCCCACTCTGTTGGCTGACCCAGTTTCTCTTTCTCCTTTCAGATAGTGTTGTGTGTCAGAAGTGCTCTGACAACCAGTGGCCCAATGTGCAGAAGAGAAAGTGCATCCCCAAAACCCTTGACTTCTTGTTCTATCACAAGCCCCTTGACACGGCATTGGCTGTCTGCACAGCCCTGCTCTTCCTCCTTGCCCTGGCCATCTTAGGCATCTTCATCTGACACCACCACACTCCTATCATCTGAGCCAACAACTGCCAGCTCAGCTACCTCCTGCTGTCCTCCTTGGCCCTCAGCTTCCTCTGCCCCTTCAAGTTCATTGGCCACCCAGACCCCATCACCTGTGCTGTGCACCAGGCAGCCTTTGGGGTCACCTTCACGGTCTGCATGTCCACTGTGCTGGCCAAGACCATCGTGGTGGTGGCAGCCTTCCATGCCACCCAGCCAGACACCCAGCTTAGGAGGTAGGCGGGGCCAGTCCTCCCCAGCACCATCCTCACTGCCTGTTCCCTGACCCAGGCAGTTTTGTGTGCACTCTGGGTGACCAGATGGCCCCCACAGACTTGAAACTCTAAAGAACCTGGGTCCACAGTGACTGTAAAGTGTGATAAAGGCTCCTTGGAACTGTTCTATGCCATGCTGGGCTACTTGAGTTTGCTAGATCTGGTCAGCTTGCTGGTGACCTTCCCCACCTGCCAGCTGCCTGACACCTTCAGTGAAGCAAAGCATATCACTCTCAGCACATTGTCTGCTCCTGTGTCAGGGTGTCCCTCATACCTGCCCACAGGCATGCCCATAGCAAAGACACCACGGCCGTGGAGGTCTTTTTCATCTTGGCATCAGGAGGAGGACTCATGTCCTCCCTCTTCCTTCCCAAATGCTACATCATCCTTCTCCATCCTGAAAAGAACACAAAAGACTAAATGTTTGGCTGGCATTATCTCAAGTGGGAAAAACTGAAGTGAACCATGAGGAGTGTGGCTTTCTCAGGGATGCCTCCCTGAACTCCCCACCAGGAGGGCGAACCTTCTTCTGAGCCCCATCACACAGGTCTGAACCCCTCCCTGTCCCTGAGCGGCTTCTATTTTATATTTCATTCTATCAAGGGGAGGGGAGACATGTTTGCAAATAATATTGTCCTTGATAGAAGCATCTGGTCTAATTCATTCTGTGGCCTCTCAGCACCCAGCCAGCACCTCATACAGTGAGGAGACAGAATACGTGATTGGTAAATGAATGAATTAACTTATGCAAAATTAGCATTGGAAGAGGTCTTTGAGAGGAGACAGGTAGAGTCGTCGAGTGGAGCCAGACAGACCTGGTTCATGGTCTCCTGCTGTCATAGCTGTATAAACCTGGACATGTTACCTTACCTCTCCAACCCTCAGTTTGCTCCAAAGTAAAAATGAGACTAAGACTTTATCTTCGGGTTGTTGGGATGATAAAACAAGAAACTGTATGAAATGTCTCAGCACATGATAAGCACTCAAAAGGTAGATATTTAAAGTCACCCAGCAAGACTCCATCTCAAAAAAAAAAAAAAAAAAAAACAAGTGCTGAGCTGGATTTGGCCAGCAGAACTTTCTCAGCCAATATCCTAGGGGATGTTGATCCTGCAAGATGGAATGAACTTGCGTCCTTAAAGCTGAACAGAGCCACCCACCAGCCTGGAATACTCACTGTGGACACTTGCCAGAAAAAGAAAATCTTCATTCTTTAAGCTACACTATAGTTAAGTCTCTCTTGTTATAGAGACTTAGCATTTTACTTTACCTAATATATAGTCCATAACTCCAGACTATTCAGACCAGAGCCCCCTTCCATAGTCCTCACCCCTGTCCTTTTACTTTTTTTTTTTAATTTCCATTTTTATTTTAGATTCAGGGGGTACGTGTGCAAATTTGTCACAAGGATATATTGTGGGATGCTGAGGTTTGGATTCTGTTCATTCTGTCACCTAGATAGGAACATAGTACCCAATAGGCAGTTTTTCAGCCATTGCCCCCTCCCTCTCTCCCTCCTTTTGTGCACCTGTAGTCCCAGCTACTCAGGAGGCCAAGGTGACATAATATCTCTTATTCCCCAATATCTCTTATTCCCATCTTTATGTTCATGTGTACCCAAGATTTAGCTCGTACTTACAAGTGAGAAAATAAAATATTTGATTTTCAGTTTCTGCATTAATTTGCTTAGGATAATGGCCTCCCACTACATCCATGTTGCTGCATATAATACAATTTCATTCTTTTTCATGGCTGCATAGTATTCCATGGTGTATATGCATTGCGTTTTCTTTATCCAATCTACCATTGATGGACACCTAGGTTGATTCCATCTCTTTGTTACTGTGAATAGTGTCATGATGAACATATAAGTGCATGTGTCATTTTGACAGAACGATTATTTTATTTTGGGTATATACCTAGTAATGGGATTGCTGGTTTGAATAGTAGTTCTATTTTTCATTCTTTGAGAAATCTTCAAACTGCTTTCCACATGGCTGAACTAATTTACACTCCCACCAACAATGCACAAGCATTCCCTTTTCTCTGCAACCTCCCCAACATCTGTTATTTTTTAACTTTTTGATAATAGCCATTCTAACTGGCGTGAGATAGTATCTCATTATGTTTTCATTTGCACTTCTCTGATGATTAATGATGATAAGAATTTTTTCGTTTGTTTACAGCTTGGATATCTTCTTTTGATAAGTGTCTGTTCATGTCCTCTGCCCACTTTTTAATGGGATTAATTTTTTTTTCTTGTTGATTTAAGTCCCTTATAGATTCTGGATATTAAACCTTTGTCAGATGTATAGTTTGTAGATATTTTCTTTTATTTGTTAGTTTACCTGTTTGTCTTGTCAACAGTTTATTTTACTGTGCAGAAGCTATTTAATTAAGTCCTACTTGTCAATTTTTGTTTTTCATTGCAATTGCTTTTGAGAACTTAGTAATAAATTCTTTCCCAAGACCAATGTCCGGAAGGGTATTTCCTAGGTCTTCTTCCAGGATTTTTTTATATTCTGAGGTCTTACATTTAAGTCTTTAATCCATCTTAATTTTTGAATATGGTGATAAGTAGAGGTTCAGTTTCAATCTTCTGCATATGGCCAGCCAGTTTTCCCAGCACCGTTTATTGAGTAGGGAATCTTTTCTCCATTGCTTACTTTTGTCAACTTTTTCAAAGATCAGTTGGTAGCAGTGTGCAGCTTTATTTCTGGGTTCTCTATTCTGTCCCATTGGTCTATGTGTCAGTTTTTGTACTAGTACCATGCTGTTTTGGTTACTGTAGCCTTATAGTATAGTTTTAAGTTAGATAATATGCCTCCAGATTTATTTTCTTGTTTTCGTTGTTGTTGTTGTTGTTGCTTTTGCTTAGGATTGCTTTGGCAATTTGGGCTCCTTTTTTGCTTTCATATGAATTTTATAATAGTTTTTTCTAATTCTGTGAAAAATGACATTGATAGTTTAATAGGAATAGCATTGAATCTGTGGATTGCTTTGGGCAGTATGACCATTTTAATGATATTGATTCTTCCAATCTGTGAGCATGGAATGTTTTTTCATTTGTTTGTGTCATCTCTGATATTTTTAGCATTGTTTTGTGGTTCCCCTTATAAATATCTTTCACTTCCTTGGTTAGTTGTATTCCTAGGTATTGTATTTTTTGTGGCTGTTATAAATGGAACTGCATTCTTGATGTGGTCTCAGCTTAAACATTATTGACCAACCTGTTTTTAAATATCCAAGGCAAGGAAACTGGGTTCCCACCTGCCTCCTCACTGTCCCTTCCAAAACTTGAGAGAAAAGACTCGACCCAGAGCTCCCTTCACTTCCTTGTTCCTAAGACTGTAGATGAGAGGATTGAGCATGGGCGTGACGATAGAGTAGAAGACAGATACCACCTTGTTGAAGTTGATGGAGGAAGTCACCTTGGTCCGGACATACATAAAGAAAAGAGTGCCATAGAAGAGGCTCACCACAGTCAGGTGAGCTGCACAGGTAGAGAAGGCCTTCCAGCGCTCAGCAACTGAGCGGATGTGCAGCAGTGTCCAGACAATGTTGCCATAGGACACAGCAATGACCGTAGAGGAGGCCAGTAGCACAGCCAGAGACACCAGGAAATCCACAGTCTCCTTCCAAGTGACATCTGAGCATGACAAGGCTAGCAAGGGTGAGGCATCACAGAAGAAGTGGTCGATGACATTTGGGCCACAAAATGTTAGCTGAGACATGAGGTAGATTGGCAAGATGGGTGTGAGGAAGCCTACCAGCCAACAAGCAGCTGCCAGACGGATGCAGGTGCCCCAGGACACCAAAGACCCATAGTGGAGAGGCATACAAATGGCCACATAACGATCATAGGCCATAGCAGCCAGTAGGAAACACTCAGTTGCCCCAAGGAAGGTGAAGATGAAGAGCTGGGACAGGCAGCCAGCATAAGAAATATTCTTGCCACCATCCACCCCAATAAAACCAGCCAGCATCTTGGGCACTGTAACAGAAGTGTACCAGATTTCAAGGCAAGACAAGTGTGTTAGGAAGAAATACATGGGTCTCCATAGTCGGTGGTCCAAGCCCACCACTAAAATGATGGCCAAATTCTCTACCAAGGTGAACAGGTACATGGTGAGGAAGAGTATGAAGAAAAGGAGGTGTGCTTCATGAATGCCAGCAAAGCCCATCATGACAAATTCAGTTACCTGGGTCCAGTTTTTGGTATATGGTTGCATCTGTGGCAGTGAGAGCTCAGCAAACTCATAGCCTCATAGACAATGAAAGCTCAAAGAGAACCTGTGAGGTTGGAGGATGTTGTACTAAAATGCCTTTCACTTCAGAAGAAAAACATGATGTAAAGACCCTGTTCTTACCCTCAAAGAATTTACAGTACATGAGGGACATGAGAAAACAAATAACATCAGTACAAAATGAAATGCACTGGCTAAGAACAAGACAGGGTACTATGGGCAGAAATAGCGGGGAAGCTCAACCAGTCTTGAGAAATCTTCCTGGAGAGAAGACTGTCTAAAGCTGAACCTGAAAAGGAAGTATAAGTTAGTGAGACAAAAGGTAGAGATAGAGAGAAGACATAGCAAGTATAAAATTCCAGACACCAGACAGGAGATTGTGCATTTGGGAAACTTCAAGTAGAGACAGTTTACCACAGAATTCAACAGCTTGATTTCCCAAGCAAGCATACCTGGCTTCAAATAAAAGAGAACCCCACAGAGTTGTTGTGAAAATGTAAGTTAAATAATTCCTGTAAAGCACTTAGCATCATGTTTGAGTCAATAAATGTCAAGGGGGAAATCTACATGTTGACTTCTCCTGGAATAATAGAGAGGGAGAAAATGACTGTTTCTGAGCCCGAGGAGTAGGCTGGGGCACCATGAAGGGCCAGCAACCAAATTAAGGGAAAGGAAAAAGCTGAGCTTCAGTCTAAAGGTCACAGGGAGCCTTTAAGAATTATAAGCAGAGAAGCAATGCTATTCTTTTTACCCCTTAGAAGGGGCAGGTTTGGAGGGGAACAAGGTAAGAGGCAGAAGCAGGGCACGGTGGCTCACGCATGTAATCCCAGCACTTTGGGAGTCCAAGGCAGGCGGATCACCTGAGGTCGGGTGTTCAAGATCAGCCTGGCCAACATGGTGAAACCCTGTCTCTACTAAAAGTACAAAAGTTAGCCCAGTGTAGTGGTGGGCACCTGTAATCCCAGCTACTCGAGAGGCTGAGGCAGGAGAATCACTTGAATCGGGGGGCAGAGGTTGCAGTGAGCTGAGATCATGCCACTGCACTCTAGCCTGGGTGACAGAACGAGACTCCATGTCAAAAAAAAAAAAAAAAGGAGGAGGCAGGAAGGAAGGCTGGGTTAGGAGGTTGTTGCAAGTATAGCATGGAGTGATGGTGACTTTAACTGCAGAAAT